CGCCTCCTGCCAGTCACCTCCCAAAGACCAATTCGATCGCACAGGCTTGGCCTTCTTCGGGTTCCATCTGCCAGCCAATGCTGGCTGGCAAACCCCCGAGGGAGCGCCTTCTCTGTTGCTGCTCCGGCCCTCTGGAACGAGCTCCCCGTGGAGATCCGGACCCTTACTACCCTCCCGGCCTTCCGTAAAGCTACTAAGTCCTGGTTGTTCCGGCAGGCTGGGGGCTGTTAAAGCTCCCAGCCCCGTCTTATCCTCTGTTGTGGATTTTAAAATTGTTTGTATTGTCTTATTTATTCCCTCCCCTGTTTATTGTGAGCCGCCCGGAGTCCTTCGGGAGTGAGCGGCATACAAAACCAATAAACTCAACTTAACTCAACTCCTGGGGGCTGGGGGGTGCAAAATTGAGCAAAAAAATGGCCTGTTTTCCACTCATTTCTGCCCTCCCCAGCCCCCAGGAGCACTGTAAAAGCCTCCTAAAGGCTATGCACGGCCATTTTGGTGAAGAGGGCAGGGTTTCTAGAGGCAAAAAAATGCTGAATTCAGTGTATAAGACGCACCCAGATTTTCAGCTTCTTTTTTGAGGGAAAAAGGTGTGTCTTATACTCCGAAAAATACAGTAGTTTTGTTGAGAAAACTACTGTCACACATTCCCACCAAAATTTCGAATCCATGAGAGCTACTAAGAATACCCTTTTCAAATGTCTTTTGAATAATCAGAAAGTTACAGGGAATTTCAAAGATCCTTCTACAGGTAGTCTTTCCTACATCTTTCCACAATTGAGCCCAAAATTCATGTTGCTAAGTGAGAAATTTGTTAAGTGAGTTTCGCCCCATTTTACAACTTTTCTTGCTGCATTTCTTAAATGAATCTCTGCAGTTGTTAAATTAGTAACATAGTTGTTAAGTGAATCTGGTTTCCCCATTAGCTTTACTTGTCAAAAGATCGCAAGAGGGGATTACATGATCCCAGGACATTGCAACGGTCATAAATTGAATCAGTTATCAAGCATCTGAATGCAAATCAAGTGACTGAGGGGATGCTGCAAAGGTCGTAAGGGTGAAAAATCACTTTTTTTTAGTGCTGTTGTAACTTCTGCAATTTTAGATAGCTGTCACAGTCTTAAAGTGCTGTGATGGGCACAGGATCGATTCTGGCATAATGCTAAACTTAAAAGTCTATGCATCTCAAATTCAAATATTGTATCTTCGATTTCCTCTATTGTAATTGCAAAAATATGGTGGGCAGTCTTCTTTTTGTTTCAAGTAATTAAATTGCACATTTACAGGCTTCATAAACAAAGCAAGAATATTCTATTACTTGCCTAAAATATTACTACTATGCTATGTTTTAACTATCCATAGTTTGCAGTACAGACATAATTTGAATTTGAATTTACTTTATTTGTATGCCGCCCTTTTCCCTGAAAGGGACTCAGGGCGGCTGAGGGACTCAGGGCGGTAGTATAGACATAAATTTAGTTATTGTGGTTAATTTCAACAGGAAGGGAAACTTGTGATCTCAGAGAAGAAAGTGTGCAAATGTTTTAGAAAATACATTGGCTCAAAAAGTCACCTGTGGATAGAGAGAGAGAAAGATTCCCAACGTATCTCGCTTGGACTGTATTAGCAGACCTGTATTCTAGTTATATGTTTGTGTTGCTTCAGTTCTTTTCATCACACAGATTCTCCTTGCTTTTTTTTCTAGAAGTTAATTTGTTATTTTCCAACCATTATACCATCCTGTTCTATCTTCAAAAACAGTGCTGATCTGGTGTTACCAACCAGCTAATTTACATCCTATTATACAATTTTTTTTAATGGATTGATCTACTATGACCTATTCTGGTTAAAGACTCCCCTCCCTCCCCCCCCCCACTCACAAATCCTGCAAGCAAATTTGATTTCATGTCTGCCAAAGTTGAAAACCTAGTATCAGCAATTGGGTTTTTTTTTTTACTATGATCAGAAACTAAAAGGTGAATGCATGCAATTGGTAGAAAGTCAAAACAATAAGTCAAAATGATTAACTAGAGAGGGGGGGAAATCTAATTAATTTATTTCCATACTCCATCCTCCAGCTTCTAAACCTCTTCCTGGCATTATTATTGAGTTCTTTCAGTTCAGACAGCCTTGCTGCTCCAGAGCAGGAAACTGAAGCAAATAATCTACAGATTGCTATATCAAGAATTCAGAGGGGAATAAATTACATAAAGAGGAAGATATGTGAATTTGTGCAAATTGTTTTTTTGCAAAGATGCAAGGCCACTTCTGGATTAAGTGCAGCTGATCAACAAAACGATAAGGAAGATCAGTGCATTCCCAACCATACCATAGTAGAGATCAACCAAACTTTTGGCTATCAGAGGCCTAGAATGACTACCAGCTGCGTGGACAACACTGATCACATGTCATTCATAAACAACCCAAATCTTACTGTGACTGTACCGATAGCAGTGGGAGAGTCTGATTTTGAACATTTCAACACAGAGGAACTTACCAGCATATCCGAAGTTGAAGAAACCAAAGAAGTAAGACATTATTTTATACAATAATACTGTTTTATATGTTTGAGTTATTTATCGGTGTATACCATAGTGCCATTAGTTTTCTATGACTTAAATCTGTTAAAGGATTCTTAATTTTTCAATAAAGTGAAATCTCTTTTTTATTGGACTAATTGGGAGAGGTGCTGTTCATGCACGGCCAGTAGAATTGAAAAAGCGTTGCAGCAATTTACTTCATTTGTTTAATGATATGAGTACACAAATGGCATAAATAACTGGAGAAATTTTGTCTAGTGGCTATGAATTCTGTTGTGTCAAAAGCTGGTACGTTGGGGGTTCAATTACTGTTTTTATCTACATAATAATATTGACTTGTGATCATTAAACAGTGATAACCTAATTATCTTGTGATCATGTAGTACAAGACTATGCATGGTATGTATCCTTTCATTCACAAAATGGCACCTAACATGTATCTGCATATTGTTAAGTGCACATGACAGATAAAATATAATATATCTGCAAAGAGTTGAATGAAGTACAGATTTCACACAGTCTGAAAATTAGGGTGGAGATGCTGTGTGGAGCATTCTTCAGAATTGAAGAATTTTGTCAATATGCTGTTCTTGAATCTATAAACTTCAAATCAAAGGCTGGATTAGGTTCATCAAGGTGACTCATTTTGGTAGGTTCAAGATGTCCCTCTAAGGAAAAAAAAAAGGAAATATGACAGGACCCAAAAGGAAAACTCACAGGAAAACTCAGACTTCTAGTGGCACTTGGCTTAGAAGATTACTTTAGTTCAGAAATGTTTTAGTTTGATAAGGCAAGTAATTCTCCCAGGATAATTCAAACAATCTGAAACCAGCTGTGTATTCAAAAGATTTATCATGTCTGAAATTAAAATATATTGCAGTTAAATCATTAAAAAAGAGTCAAGTACAATTTTTAATAGGCAAAAAGTATGTGTGGAAAAGATTTTGGCTTTCTATAGTATAGGGAGGCCACTATATCTGAAGTCTGACTTCTCATAATGGATTTTCATAGAAACCGCAGTAACATTTAAACTTTTTTTTTTCAGCCCAAATACTAGGACAATGATGGCGAACCTTATTTTCCTTGGGTGCCAAAAGTGCTGACATCCATAATCCAATGCCCCCCTACAGGTCCTGCCCGCTGCTCATGATAGCGTCCTAGAACAAAAAATGGGGTACAGGGGGGGAGGCCCGCATCCCACTACCACCTACACATGCGACCTCCCCACACCCATTGTATAATTACAATTCACCTGAAAATCAGCTGGCCAGCAGGAGGCACCCGCACATGCGCAGTGGAGCTGATCTGGGCGATGGCTCACGTGCCTGCAGAGATGGCTCCATGTGCCACCTGTGGCACACGTGCCATAGGTTCGGCATCACGGATCTAAGAAATATATCTTTAACAAAATGCTGAAATGGGCTATGACTTGACTTAATAAATGGATGAATATAAAATGCTGTTGTGTTTGAAGTAGGAACTAGTCAACATTTTGAAAATAGTTAGACGCATGGCCCCGTTGAGGTTAGTGTTAACCGAAGTAACACTAATTACAATAACAATCAGGTAATAATATTTTATTTATTTAGATTTATATTCCTTCAGGAACTCAAACTGATCTACCTACCGTATTTTTCAGAGTATAAAACTCACCAAGGTTTTGAAGAGGCAAATTAAAAAAAAAGTAGGTAGGTAGATAGAGGGATAGCGAGGGAGAGAAAGAAAGAGAGAGAAATACAGTAGGTAGGTAGGGAGAGAGAATAGGTAGGTAGGTAGATAAAGGGATAGAGAGAGAGAAATAGAGAGAGATAAAGAGATGGAGAAATACAGTAGGTAGGTAGGGAGAGAGAGTGTGTGTAGGTAGATAGGTAGAGGAATAGAGAGAAATAGAAAGAGAGAGAGAGAAATACAGTAGCTAGTTAGGGAGAGAGAGTAGGTAGGTAGGTGGGTAGATAGAGGGGGGGAGAGAGAGGGTAGGTAGGTAGGTAGAGGGATAGCGAGAGAGAAATAGAAAGAGAGAAATACAGTAGGTAGGGAGAGGGAGAGAGTAGGTAGGTAGGTAGATAGAGGGATAGAGAGAGAGAGGTGTATTTATCCATGTGCCGAAGAAGGAAATCGCTGACAATCTGCAGCACCTTAAGACTTTGTTTCTGCTGGCACAGCACTTGATCAATGTAATTCTCATCAATCAATTAATGAGCTTTCCTAAAGGAAAAAAAAAGTTTTTGCTGTCTGCAAACCTCCTCAAAAACAGCCAAAAAAATTGCATGCATAGCCTTATAGAGGCTTATAGAGTGCTGCTGGGGGGGGGGGAGGAGGGCCAGTTTTTCACTTATTTCTGCCCTCCCCAGCCCCCAGAAGCTCTCTGAAAGCCTCTATAAGGGTGTGCCATTTTGGTGAAGGGGGCGGGGTTTCGGGAGGCAAAAAATGATGTATTCAGTGTATAAGACGCACCCAGATTTTCAGCGTTTTTTGAGGAAAAGAGGTTCGTGTTATACTCCGAAAAATACGGTAGGTATCTTTTCTCCCTCACAATGGTCTTGTGGAATAGAGACTAATCATATGTCACTCTGTGAGCTTCCATGGTTAAGGATGGATTTGAACTTAGGTCTTCTCAAACTAATGGGGAGATTGTATTATGGAAGTAGGATTTTGCCTTAGTGTGGAAAGGCAGGCAGCTAATAAATTTTACAAATAAATAAATAAATACCAGGTGTTTTTTCCTCCATAAGTAGGCCTTCCTCATTCTCCCAAGAATTTTGAGCACGGGATGTTATTATTCACCTTCACTTCTCTATTTGTGCACATAAATAGTATCCTGTCCTCCAAGTAGAGAAGCATCTTCATTGTTTATCAGTTGTTGGCAAACCCTGAATGCTGCAGGAGATGAGGCTAGTTGAGGTTGGAGCCAAAAACGCCATTTCCCTTTTCTCCCTCTTTCTGCCAACCCCTTTCTTTTTATCTAACCATCTAGCAAACTGTTAAAGGAGGGCCACTTTATTCTTGCCAAAAGCCTGTTAATGAACAGAATTTATTTTCAATTTAGGTCAAGTGCCACTTGATGTTCTAGTACTATACATTATCTTCTCCTGCTGAACTAGTTTCAGTCACAAAGGGCACTTGATACCAACATGATTATGAGAGTAAGGGGCAGAGAATAAGGTACAAGAGAACAGTGGATGAACAATTTTATTTTATTTTATTTTATTTTTTGCTCCAAATTGAAAAGCTTTGGACAAACTTTTCTTAAGACTTTGTTAGATTAATGGAAACAATTCAGCTTCAGATCAAATTTTATTCACATTATTGCTTTTGCCTATTGTGATTAAGATTGTGAATATCATCTTTGTATAATATATGGTTCAATATCCAACTTTAGAGATGCACAGGAAAAGAAGGGAATTGAAGGTTACTGCGAGTTATCCTACATGTCTAATATAATGAACGTATTTTATTTATGTATTCATTATTATTTTGATAAATAACTCAAGGCAACTAACATACCTCACACTCACTTCTTCTATTTTCCCCAGTTCTATTTATTAAGCAGTTAAAATCCCACAGCATCCATGTGAGTTTGCTGGAGTGTCCCAAAGTTGCATAGCTGACTTTCTCTTTCCTTATCCTACAAGAGTTTTTCAAAAGGAAAATTTCCACCCTGTACAAAAGTGTAATGCACAGATTCATCTATTTGGAATTGACTTGTTCTGGACTGACATACGTTTTCCTGGATTTGCTCTGTGGAGGTTTCCACAGCTGCCAGTATTCCTTTTTGTTGATAATTGTATCAAAGTCTTTAATAAACATAGTAAAACTTTTTAATATTTAAATTTTACAAAACACATGAACGTTGACACAAGCTAATCAAGTACAGAAACAGCAAATAAAGAAGAAGAAAAGCAAAAGTGCAGAAAGAAAGAATTTTAAAAAATAGAATTTTTCAATTTGCTTTATAGCAAATATGAATATGTTTAAAAATTCTCTATTACTATATGATTATAAAAAAGTAATAAACATAGTAAAAATGAATGTAAACTAAAATAGAAGAAAGAAAGTCCAAAAGGTGCAGAATAAAGAAGAGAAAAAAGGCAACAAATACAATAATGAAGTGTTTCCAACCAAGAATAAGCTAGAATGCTAACTTTTCACTGTTTTTTAAAGTTACAAAAAAAAAACCTATATCTTCCTATAGCCTAACTTTTGTAAGCAAACCCAATCTAGAAATCGTCACCTTTTCAATTCCAATTCAGCAAAAAATCCATTAGGGACTTTTGCCAGAAAATCAAATAAATAGTTTATCCCTGGTCAAATAGTCCAACTTCGTATTCTTTCTTTTTCCCTCTGCAAATCTTGACTTTTAAATAATTCCTATGGCATTTCAGGATTTGATATTTCATCACTCTTTGGATTTAAAAGGAGTCATCAAAGGTTTTACCAGCCTACATTGTAAATCCCATTGTAGGAAGTTAGCACCCACCCCTCTCCTAGAAGAATGAAATATTCTAGGAAATATTAAAAAGGCAGAATATTATGTTTCCCTGGATGAGAAAAGGAGAAACATGTTTTAAAGACAAAGCAACTCCTTGCCCCCCCCCCCTTCAGCTCCAGGGTGATGGGATTAAGACATGGCCCTTAGGACATGACAGGATTAGCCCTCTACCCATCTCACCACATGGCACCTGGGAAGATTACAGCATCCAGCAAGGCTCAACCAAGCCTGGGACACAGACAGTCTACAAAGTTAGGTAAGACCCCTGCCCCCTGGGAGTCTGACAATGTATCCAATGGGATATATTTCTTACACAGGAACAGGAAGCTCAACAGTGTATAAATCTCTCTCTCTCACCCATGTGATTTTTTTTCCCCCGGGACTTCAAGCCATGTAGTCCTGTCTACCATTAAAACCATCTTTCCAAATAGCCACCATTATATTCAGTGTCTTTTTCCCCACTTGGAACTGAACCCAGATGGACATTTCTTCCAACACC